ATTGAGCTAACAAGCCATCTGGGAGCAGGCCGTTAAGTTGATTCGTAATAAACCCGTGATGATAAATCAAATACAATGAACTTCATAGATTCATTGAAACCAAAAGTATTTAAGTTATTAGTTGTATCGATGACAAGTAAAGATGTAAACCAACCAAAAATAATGAGGATACTGACCGTCAAACTTGAGACATTTTGAAATTTGACAAACGACAGTGGAATTATGGAACCCTCTCTTATATTGTCAGCTGTTAACCTGAACACAAAGTGATGTACCAATTTTAGTGTGCGTGATAAAGTGTACAAAAAATTTCCACGATGTAAGATTGCAAAGCACCAAGAGGTTCATAATTCACAGGAATAACTGAATCTAAAGATCAAATGACTTACTCAAGGGTTTGTTTGGCTTCCCTGCGTTTCGCAGTGTCAAAACCCATGGTATAAGTTTGGTTTATAAATACTCTCACAGTCTTTGGTCCTCTGCCTGTAAAAATGACCACAGCATTATATTTAGATGAGTTAGTATTTTCTTAGTTTCCCTTGTAGTCGTTGCTTGTTCTCGTCACATAACTGAAGTGCCCTACCAAACCGAAGACTGCGCATAAACAAGAACCGTATTTCTTCTCCTTTAAGTTTCCTATATCAATTTGTCGCTGCTCTACCTTGAAGATGTCAGATGTTTACGAAATATTGGTAAAGCTACCTCTTGCTACTCTATTTTGTTCGTCTGCTATTCTTACAACCTGTTCCAAGCGTTTAGTAAGTGGAATGTAGCAGTGGTGCAGAGCGAAAAATGACGCGTCTCTTTTACCACAGAAAGGCATAGATAGTTGTGAGGACTCAAGAAGTCAGAGTCACTTTTGGCCATCGTTTCGCGCGACTCTCGCGCTTCTTTCATGCCTAGCAACCTTCCGCGTGCATCCATTACTTAATAGCGCACGCTGTGGTGTTTACCATTTGTCAACTGGCCTAGGCTGTGCATAATTGATAAACTACACTGGCTTCAAATGATTTGTTGAGAGTTGCGCTTTATCTCACAGAAGTCGACTGGTTTCTGAACCATAAAGGGATAAGGAGTGTAATTACACCCCTGGTTGGGATACTGGTCTATCGTGTTCGTCTCAGGTTAGTCTTCCAGCAATTTGTCAGGCTTCCCTGTCAGCTCACTAATATTAATTACTTCTCCTGGATGGATAGAGGCATTGTGAGGATAATGTGTCTTGCCAACGAAAACATCTCTATGACCCAGCTGGAGCCCTAAAGAGAACTTCTCCGAGATACTGGACGCTAGCTTCAGGGCTACATAGTCCATTACGATTGGATCATGAAGAAACGGGCTATTCTTGTGATCGGCGATACGGAGGGAAAGGAATGTGAATTTAGTTTGAGCAGCTGTTGGTTGGGAGAGACGATGTGGCGTGACGAGACTGAATAACTTATTGTGTTTCTTCCCCTACTTTTTTTAGGCTGCGGGCACTTAAATTATATAAGAGAAGAAAAAATGTAAGTGGCATACCGTCATCAGGTCCTTGTATCTTGAGGGAGTGAAGTTTTACTGCTTCATTGAAGGCTATTGTCACCAGCAACTATAATTGGAGAGAATGTTCATCAGTGCACCATTATAAGAACATTATGTATCTACAGGCACCGCTGCAACCATGGAATTAATTAACGAGATTGTATTTTATAGGAAAATTCATTACCTAACGAGGGAATTCCGCGGTGAATTGCGGGCAAAAACCGATATCGGTTTTCAAGTGCAATTTCACGCGGAATTCACGAGTCAGGTCAGGGGGTTTCCTTGAGTCGCATAATCGAATAAAAATTAGAAAAAAAGAATGCATCAATAATATTGTTTTTTTTTTTTATCCGGAGCGCGAAACAAGAGATGCGAAGCAATATCACCTAGCCTCGTTTTCAACTCGCAATTCCACGCTAAATACCTCGCTTTGTTAACCAATCAGTATGCAAGATTTTATTCAATGTTGCGATTCTATACGAAATACCCTGATAAAGTCAGCTGTTAAAAAATCAACTTTGCATGTTAGGCTTCGACTTCATTTTCTTTGTTTTATTCGCTAATGCTCGGCGATGAGCCAGATTCATTGTGCACCGGACCTAACTGTTTTATGGACTTTTAATCCGAATAGGATTTAAATGTTTTAGGCCTCTATTTAAAGCTTCACCTAATATTTAAAATCACCACATCGAAACAAGATATCTACATCTACGTTTGAAACTGACTGATAATTCAAAGAAACGACAGAAATCCTAAATCTACACCAGCCTGAATCAAGGATAGAATGATCATCGTGTGTTTAATCCTGTTCATAACGTTCTGGCGTACCTCTTCGTCAACTTCACTCTCCACGAATTCTGGTCCTTTGGTCAGTATGGATAATACGTGGCAGTCATCATCTCCATTTAGACATTCGCATTCATCTCTCTTTATGAAATGGAGAAGATTCACCTGTAATCATCAGTAAAGGTTGAAAGAAAATTGTACATCAGCAATGAGGGTCAATTAGATTTAATCAAAGAGACCTACGAAATTAAAGCTTCCTTCTTAAATGTATGAAAACACTATACCTATATCTATTATCTCTTTAGTGAAGTCATGAAGGACGACTAAGTATAGAGCAAAGACACACAAAAATCCTCGGGTGAAAATGATCTGCGGCGGCCAATTCGGTTGTAAGAAATCCTGGACAAAAGTCCTTTGAGCTACTGAAAGTTATGGAGCACCATGCGTTTCTTATTAGTTACCATTGCAAAGTCCTGTTAAGCATTCTGTTGATGACTTACGTATCCCGGTACCACACTATCTTCTATCGATATCCACTTTTGTATTTTCTCCTCCAGCAACTCTTCATCTGCACCGTTTACCTGATCTACCTTCTTTTTGGTTTGGTTCCCCTTGAATAACTGAAATGTTGGAGAGGATGTTACCCCATTTCTAAGTGCTATATCCTACAAGGTAAACATACGACTGAGATAAGCATATGTAAAACGTCCGACTTTTTAATTAACCAGACGAGTCACTTACGATTTAAAGGTAATTAATGCTGAGAGATTATTGTTTCAAGTAAGACTATCATCATACATACCTCGCATTTGTCCACATCAACAATTAAAAACTTTGCCGCTGGGTACTGAATGCTCAGAGAGGAAAATGTCGGATTGATCATTATCGAAAAAGGACACCTGCAGGGAGAGGAATGGCCATCGTTATCTGTTTTAAACGCAGGCAAGTATTTCGGTCTGTACGAGATGTATCGGAACTTATAAAGTTGGGGTCCACGCGAAAAATCAACTTTGCGAGAAAATATCCACACATTTCGTTACTATCGTTCAGCTAACTTTAGTAGCGCCTTCTAACTACTCACCATTTCGCTGCATAGTTCACTACCACCAGTTTGGCGCCGGCGCTCGTCATCTCTGACTGAAAATGGAAGTCATCTTCGATCTCAGTAACCCTTCTGGCTTGTGCTGCCTCGTCCCAGAAGTCTATTAAAAAAATCGAATTGGCTGAATTGGCGCTCGTCATCTCTGACTGAAAATGGAAGTGATCTTCGATCTCAATAACGCTTCTGGCTTGTGCTGCCTTCTCCCAGAAGTCTATTGAGAAAATCGAATTGACTGAAAGCCCAGTGATACTTAGGATTTTGGAAATGATTTAATCACTGGTCGTAACCCGATTTGGTAAAAGGCTACTGCAAGGTCATAAGTGTTGCAATAGTCCTAGCTGGCTAAGAAATGTCCGATTACGTTGTCAAGAAGGCCAAGTTATGCGACTAATATACCTTCCATGCCGTGTTCAGCTGCTGCTTGCATTCCAGGAACTGGGAGGTAAACTTCTGCAAGTTTGAATTAAGAGGAAAAGGAAATTTAATAGTTTACTCATGGTGAATTGTATATTCTTCCCTACAATCAGTCTCCCGTAGGAGTAACTCTGCAAAATCTATCTTTGGACAGGATTCTTTCGACAGTGGTGATCGTAGAGGTTTACAGAACACCTTCTGCACAGAGACCTAGCGATAGATGAACTTTTCAACTAGCAACCACTTCTAGCCTCAATCGGAAGAGCAATCTCTTTTGGCCTGAGTTAGAAACAAAATTTTCTTACATTTATTTTTCTTTGTTGTATTCAATTACGAATCAATATTGCGGAAGAAAGAAAAGCAGAAATTGTGAGCTTAGAGGAAGTAATGCCAGGTTTGAATACTTAAGGTATCATAATTAAGCTGTGCGATGTCTTACACAATAATTGCTTGAGAGACTGATAAAGAGCGATGCAGTCATCTTTGAATTCAGTGAGGTATTCTTAACTTTCTTACCCTCGTGGATCCCAACACTGCGGAGACCAATGTCCTGCGATTGAAAGTAAATGGTATGAGTTGCTACTCTTAAGAGATCCGACTAAATCGCTTACATCTTTCTCAAATACCAATTGTCGTCAATAGATAACTGTGTACAACCTCTTCGAAGTCAGAGAAGAGCACCTTATTGAAGTATTAGCGTATTATTAGCCATTTTCGAAAGACTAGATACAAAGCAATAATTGCATAAGTGATCAAAGAATAAATGATAAATAGAAACATGAGAGTGATAAAGTATTGATGAAATTTCCCTACCCCAGCTGCATCCTCTTGAAGCAAAATGGTTTCCTGACTCACTAAGAACTCTCTGCATTTTTTGTAATGCCCCTCGTTGATAATGGTCTTTAATTTCACCTCCGTAAGGCATAGCTTTTCCAAAACCTGAGTTGTTATCAGAATTTTTTCAGCAACTTCGTTCAGATGACCACTTTTGTAGTCTTTCCACAATTCGTCAAGAATGTCCGCTGAACTGCATTTAACGGCTATAAACAAACTTCCCATCCCGTAGCCAAAAATATTGAGTCTCAGCGTCTGAGACAAATAATCGAAAAATAAGTTAAAAGAATTCCCAAATGATGATATGACTGCCCAGATATCAAGCTCTTCTGGCGAAGGCTGGCTACTTTCTCGAGCGTGTTCATTCGATATTCCTTCAGATGCAACAGGTTGCGGTTCGTGCATTTGCCGGTGCTGCGAGACCGATCTCCTCCTTTCAGATCGGGAGCAAGAGGGCTCTTGAAATTTGATTGGCTGCCCTATTTGTGAAGAGCTAATATCCCATATAAGAATAGGAATACAACCTGCGGAAATAAAGACAAGCGATTGAATCAAAAACTGCATCTGTGAAGCACACTTAAAGTCAAAGTGGACATTGAAACTCTTCCGGAAAAATGGGGAGAATTCTTGGGAACAGATTATGAAAGAAAAAGGGCCAATAATCTGTAGCGTTTTAAATGCGGTACATCAATTTATATTCGGTATGATAAAAAGCATCAAGATTGTAAAAACAGCAAATGAGATTTTTACCCGTTCCTTTTGATTTAAAAAGGTCATTATTAAAAGTTTTTAAATCTGAATTCAATACCAAAGTCCCGTTTGAACGGTCATTAAAAGGTGATGGTAATTATAACTATCATGCACTATCACCTACTTTTATCCACTATCATCAAATGTCATGTAATTTGGACTTGTTGAAATTCTACATGATAGTTAATTGGTAGTTTTTGCTGTTTGAACGAGCGTAAGATATCGATATTAGTTTTTCGGTCAGCAGTTTTTCCAAAAACGGGTAAGCCTTCAAAATTTCGCAGAATGTCTTGCAGTTCATTCAGTCACCATCTCCTGGTCGGCTTCTGTATCTTTAACTCGCAACCTCTCGACGGAATAATTTCAAATGCCACCGGAATTGCTGACCTCAGCGCACACCTTATTTGTACACAAGTACGCGACTTCATGGCGTGAATTTGTCAACTTTCATCCACTATCATCAATTATTAAAAACTGGATCATTGGATAATGTAATTCAAGACTTTTTATTGGATAAAAAGCCAATAAATTATTGGCTATCTATCATCTCATACCCAACGCGCGCTCGTGGAATAATTGTTAATTATCATGACCGTGTGAACGGGGCTTAACCCAAGGCTGTGACAAAATCTAGGGTTCGAAAATCAATGATAATTCGACGAGAAAGATTTTTAATAGCCCTCCTTGTTCCTAGTGCGACAAAATTCTTCTCGTCGTAATCAACAATTTTTCGTACCTATGTTGTAAGTTACCTTTGTCGTCAGTGATCCCCTGTAGAATTTCATGGACGTCTTTAAGCATCTGATTCTTAACCTTTTCAGCAGTCTGGGTTACGTCCATCTTGAAATCTTCAGCAGCCTGGCGTAACTCATTCTTAACACATTCAGTCTTGACACTTTCAAGAACCTGCTGTATTCCAGTCTTGACATGCATGACATCTTCACCCTGCTGCTTTAGCTCTTAACTAACATATTGCACCGCCTCTTAGACATGTTTGACTGTTGTATCAACCTGGTGCAGATTGTCCTTAAAATCCTCTTCTTTCTCGTACCATTGCTTAAGTTCCTCTATGCATTTCTGTGCCTCTGACGTCAGGGGGTCGTTCAACAATTTCTCAATGGCTTTCTCCCATTCATCTTTCTTTGTTATATCAACTTTTGTGATAATTCGGAGGATAGCCTCGCTTATCTCCTTCCACAGATAACAAAAGTCGCAGTCTGAGATTTCCATTTTCTGATTATGACCATAAACTGAGTTACGATAGTATTTTATCCGAGCTAGGTCTGCTTCAAGACTGTGATTTGCATCATCTGGCTTTTTGTCCCATCCGGTGGCAGGAGGTTTGAGATTGCATATTGTTCTTAACAATCTGAAAGTCAAAGTAATATCGAAGTCAGTGGACTTAACAGCAGACTGGTTAAGGCAGTTCTTCTCGTCCATAGTAAGCTTTACTTTCTTTAGTTGCGTCTGTACGTTTACGTCTTTGAGCGTCGTTGAAAGATCCTTAGGTGGATGAATTTTGTCGAACGTTTCCCTGAGGACATTAACACCTCCACACATGAGAAGTCGTGTTAACCGCTGTAAATTTTCCTTTCCATTCGTTGAACGTAAAATTTCTTCAACATCCGTGGTTGACGTCATGTTAAGACTATCATTGATCGTACGGGTCCTATGAAATGAAGCGCAGAAAATTTTGATAAAATGTAACGCAAAGCCTACCTAACCTGCAGTAACTTGTGTGGATCCAAGAAAGTAGTGCACTATTTCACAGGACGGGAAGATGTTTCAGTTTTCAGGCAATCGTACATCAGAATTTTTGCCCATACTTGTACCGTACCCTCTTCAATTTACCGGGGCAGTAGAGGAAAGAATTGGATAACCGAAAACGTTTTTGGCTGGTGTCTGTGGATTTATCTAAAGCAATCGACATGTTACCACTCAGTCTAATTATCAAGAAGCTGGCTAAATACGGTGCAGACGACAACACAGTTAGTTTAATTAAGGATTATTTAAGAGATCGCAAGCAATATATAAAACTTGAAGGCACATTTTTCCCTTGGTTACCCGTCAAGAGAGGTATTCCCCACGGATCAATCCCGGGGCCTTTATAGACCACTTTCATAAATGGCTGCCGGATTAATATTCTTTTGTTTAAATTTAAATTAGCCCTACTGGCCTCGTTCTCCAGTACAAAATTCAAAAGAATACATTATCTCAAGCGAGGCCAGTTGCATTGCGTATACTTAACGCCAACCATGGAATATAGTCGTTATGCCCTTCGCGTATGGTGGAGCCTCACAAAATTTGATAAACAGACTCAATCACAAAATCATCATTATATGGTCGCAGACTTAATCAAGGCTAGAGGAAGTTTTAAGATTAATATACACAACTAAGGATTGGGATTCTTTTTTAATTAGGTAACTAATCGTTAGAATCGAAAATAAGCATAACATAATAACCTGTTATGATGGAATATGACAAACAACCAAGCAGACAAAACAAATAACCGGTTGTCACCTGCTTTCTTTAGTTGCGTCTGTACGTTTACGTCTTTGAGCGTCGTTGAAAGATCCTTAGGTGGATGAATTTTGTCGAACGTTTCCCTGAGGACATTAACACCTCCACACATGAGAAGTCGTGTTAACCGCTGAAAATGTTCCTTTCCATTCGTTGAACGTAAAATTTCTTCAACATCCGTGGTTGACGTCATGTTAAGACTATCATTGATCGTACGGGTCCTATGAAATGAAGCGCAGAAAATTTTGATAAAATGTAACGCAAAGCCTACCTAACCTGCAGTAACTTGTGTGGATCTAAGAAAGTAGTACACTATTTTACAGGACGAGAAGATGTTTCAGTTTTCAGGCAATCGTACATCAGAATTTTTGACCAATACTTGTACCGTACCCTCTTCAATTTACCGGGGCAGTAGAGGAAAGAATTGGATAACCGAAAACGTTTTGGGCTGGTGTCTATGGATTTATCTAAAGCAATCGACATGTTACCACTCAGTCTAATTATCCAGAAACTGGCTAAATACGGTGCAGACGACAACACAGTTAGTTTAATTAAGGATTGTTTAAGAGATCGCAAGCAATATGTAAAACTTGCAGGCACATTTTCCCCTTGGTTACCAGTCAAGAGAGGAATTCCCCAGGGATCAATCTTGGGGCCTTTATTGTTTAGTATATTTATAAACGATCTTCCTCGTGTCATTGATTTTACTATACTGCCCACTTATGCAGATGATACACAGATCTTCTATACTTGGGACAATGTGACAGATGTAGAACAAGCCACATTCCTCATAAATGGTATGAGGAAAATGAAATGAGAAGGAATCACGATAAATATAGAGCAATGATAATGGGGAAGACGTCACGAGACCCTGCAGCTTTCTAGTGTGAAGGCACAGACATCCCTCTGATGGAGGAGGTAATAGAGCTTCTGGGTGTAACGGTCGATAATAAATTGAAGTTTGAAAGTCAAATTAAGAAAATGTGTCGAAAAGTGAGCCAGCAGATCGCCGTTTTGAAAAGCATGAAAAAGTTGCTTCCGTTAAAGCTGCGAGAAAAGCTTTATAGAGCATTTTTTGCTTCACATTTTAATTTACAGTGCCGAGTCTTGGCATTTTTGTAGTAATCGCTCAACAGAAAAACTGGAAAAACTGAACGAGCGGGCACTCCGCTTCGTTTATCAGGACAAAATCTCTACGCATGTGACAGTAGTTGTTAAAAATGGATATAGCGAATTAGCAAATCAAAGACTTGAAAAATGTTACATACAAAGTTTGGAATAATTGGGAATGGAAACGCACCTACAAGTATTACCGAGTTATTGACGGCACGGAATTCTAAATGCTATTTTAAAATGACCTAAAGTGAATTCTACAATGTGCGGGATCAAGTCATGGAGATATCAGGCTGTCCGACTATGGAACACTATTCCTAATAATTTAAGAAATATCGATGGCTACCGCAGTTTTAAACGTGGACTCCAG